AAGTATAAACACACTCTTTGCGTACGCCAGCGTCAACCAGGAGTGGAGAGTACGGGGAAACAGGAGGGTAGCAGACTGCTGGACTAGACGTCGTGAAACTGCGGCGTGTGCAACCGCACCGTACAACTGCACTACACCGTACTTCAATATTGCTAATTCTTTGCTTTAGCAGCTGTATGATGCGGTTGGCACACGCTGCAATTCACAATGCCTAATCCGTCTGACACCATTCTACTTCCCCATATTCTACATTCCTGGTGGAAGCTCGCGTACTCATGCGGCATGCACGGTTGGATTCTAGACCGATGCTGGCGTACGCCCAAACGCTATGCTGACACGAAGTGTGAACGCATCTTTATCAGACTGCGTTCACACTTCGCGCTTTGAGCAGCCGCCAGCATTTTTAGCGATAATCGATACCCGTACTTTCTCAGAGGCTCAAAATGCTCAAAATGCCGAGAGACCTAGAAACGCGGCCGCAAAGAATGAACGCACTCTCATCTGTGAATAGCCAACTCACATGTATTTCTTCAATTTCCGTAATACTGCGGAGTACTGGATGAGAGCGATTTTCTTGGTCTACGTCATCCTGAACTAACTTTTGATAAAATTATTGTAATAGATTGTAAAGAGCACGTCAGTGTAAGAAATTCGACCTGCTTTCAACTCGTCTGAACTATAACTGCAGAAAGATGTGTTGACAGAATCAGATGGTTCTTCACCGGCCCAGTTGTATAGACTACGTTTCCATGTACGAATCTAAAATGTAAGTGCGAGGGGTGAGCGACAGACAGCAAGAAGCATAGAAGAAGCTTAGAATACCTGAACATCCCAAGATCTACGACTGAAGTTGATATGCTTGTTTGGAGTTTTGGGATGTACACCTTTAATACGCATATGACGAGGGATTTCTTCCAAGTATCGAGCATAAATCGGCTTCTCTTTAGCACGTTCAATCTCCTGAAAAGCAGTACATTGCCAAAAGAGTTGAAAATGGTTTGAAGCGTTCTAACCTTAGTTCTTCTATCCAGGGTCGCCTGATCTTTGCACCATCCCAGAGTGGGATCTTCCCAGAAGTCTTTCGGTGTGAAGTCTCCAGATGACGTACTTTTGGATTCCGATGGAAATAGGCATCTGCAAATCAACACTTCACATCACAGACCTGGAAATACTAGCTCGCTTATGTATTGTTCTAAAGCAACTCAGGAGCAAAAGCATGCACTTCAGATAAACACTAGGTCATGCGATCACTTGAGCTTTTTTCGGGCCTAGCCCGCGTCGCTGGCGTTTCTTTGGTGCAGATGCGAATCGCAACACCAATATCTCGACCGTTAGGCTTCGTTCACACTTTACTGAGGAAATTTGTCAATGGGACACTGCGCGACGAGGAAAGTA